GCATGTGCATATCAGTATTTATACAGAGGGTTAGGAAGGAAGATGAGAAGAGGAATCATTCAAACTAGAAGCTTGGAGCCTTATTTTCTCCCACAAATAACTATTGTTATCTTGTATCCTGAAGGGAAGAGAAGCATAGGATCCAGCCCCTTCTTTTTGCATGACATATTACTCTATCCATTTGTAGTCTCAAACTCTATCCAGCATTAGAACTAAGTTATATCATCTCCTGTAAGAGAGAGGGAGAGGGATATCCAGGAATACAAGAAGTGGTTTAGAAAGCTTCAACAAAGAAGGTAAATGAGAAGGAAGTAGTTTTGAAACTCTCTCTCTCTTTCTCTCTTTGTGTGTACGTGTGTGTGGCAGGGGAGATTTTCTTTTCATTTTGTAGAAGTACCTTCAGTGATGAATTTTTCCATTTCTATTTACATCACAGACAAATATCTATCCCCTTTAAAACCATTGATGACTGACATAGTTCACAAACAAAAATCTATTACCCATTACATGCCCAAATGGCAGCTTTCCAGCTGTGAAAATGATATTTTTGACACCTAGGCACAGTTTGAAATGCTATTACCCATGCAGTGTCCACATGGCTACTAAACAGGCTCAGTGGGCCATGGTGCCCAGGTGTATAACTATATACATCCATACCTGAGCATAAGTCTTGGAAAAAACCAGAAAGAGAAAGACTCTTTAAGTCCCATTTTGTGAATGGTTAGGGCATGCACATATACAGTAGGCTCAGTTTCTGATTAACCAGAAGGATTTTGAACTTGTATCCTTCTGACTTCCTAGCTCAGTACACTAGCCCTACTATCTAAGCCCTTCTCCAGCCCTCCTTCTGGAGTTAAGCTAGAGTACTGTACTTTACATTTAATAAACATTAGATAAAATGTATAGAGTGCAGGGGAAGTTTCTATCTCATCTTAGGGGAGTATTCATCTTACTGAGCCACACACACTCTAGTTTGTTTGCTTCCTTCTGGTCCCAAATATCTACCTGTCTTGTATCTGTACACAGAGCCAGCATCTAACCAAGTTCTGAAGAAAGAACTGGCTGACATTGGGAAATCAGATGGACACAGGTTCACACTCTTCAGAGTGCGGTGAAGGAAGAGGTAGGGGGGAGGGATATAGAGAGAAAGAAGTCTGGTTTCCTGCTTTCTGGGAAAGTACCATAACCCTTCCAGTAGTGGGGCTGAAATATGGAAGCTTTCCCCCTGTTTCCTATTGGTTAGTTCAGAAATTAAAAATAAATTAGTTAGTGGTTACCTTTTATTTGGATTAGTTTAATTTGTGTTCACTTGTTATAAAGGAACTTGATATAGCTGTTTTTACAGAAGAACAAGTGAAACAAGCTCATTATGTGAATTGCCCCTTTGAAAGGTCTTAAGTTTTGACAAAAAGATAAAAAACCCAAAACCCTGCCACTCATTCCAGAAACCTGTGAATAACTGACAGAATTTATGTAAGGGAGCAAGAGAAAGGTCACATAACTGTTTGTATATAGGGGAGAGATCTTGCAGGGGAAGAAAAATAATAAAGGTAAACCAACATTTACCAAACCAGGGAAAAAAAAAGAGAAGAGGGAGGGC